TCGAGGGAGATAAACGGTTACTTGTTTACGAGTATCTCGAAAACAAGAGTCTTGATCAAGTATTATTTGGTAAGAACGAGACAGATTGTCCATGCTACATATTAAGTAACTTCCATATTCTGGAGACTGAATCTTTATGCTTTGTTAAAGCAGGGAATAGAAGTTTAACTCTTGAATGGACAACACGCTTTGAGATATGCTTGGGAGTAGCAAGAGGTCTTGCTTATCTGCACGAGGAATCTCGACTTCGAATTGTACATAGAGATGTTAAAGCCAGCAACATTTTGCTCGACTCTGATCTGAACCCTAAAATTTCAGATTTTGGTCTGGCCAAATTGTATGATGACAAAAAGACCCATATAAGCACCCGTGTTGCTGGAACAATGTATGACCCACAAAATTTTCTAAATCTATAATGTTCCTTAATTCTGTATTAATCTTTTGTTTAGTGGCCTACATTTCCAGTTTATATGTAGGCTAGCAGGGTGGATTTATTGCTAAGTTTTCACATTTCACTCATATAGTGGGTATCTTGCACCTGAATATGCCATGCGGGGACACCTTACTGAGAAAGCAGACGTATTTAGCTTCGGAGTTGTAGCTCTAGAGATTGTCAGTGGAAGGCCAAATTCTGACTCAAGTTTGGAAGACGATAAGATGTATCTTCTTGAATGGGTATGGTCTATTTGCATTTTGAATCTTCGTGCTTATTAATCCTTTAGAATTTAAAAATCTTATAAAAACCCCGGATATCCATTAGATTTTAAAATGTTTCATCTTTCCATGTTTTCTTCAGTGAATTTTTATTTTTATTTTTATTTATTTATTTATTTATTATTGTTGTGATTAACTTAGCAAAAGGACATTGTATTCTAGTTTACAAATTTTACCAACATTTCAATCCACACTTGAAGTTATGGACAAAATTTCCAAAATATCAGTTTTCTACTTTTATTTGCAGTTTTAATTCTGGCAGCAATGACAAAATAGTAGGAGTTTCACTTATATTACAGTTTGATTCATTGTCAACTTTTCAGCTTCATTTGGTTGTGGTAGATATCTGGTACGGAAATTTCCTTTTGTTTGGAATCCGAGAAAAATGAACATCTCTTGGAGTATTAACCATTTAAAAATTATAGTCATGGAAACTAAGCCTAGATGAGAGGTGCACTAGCGTGGTTGAGTGTTGAGAAAGTAATTACTAATTACATAATGTTAAAATTCTTTCTGATGAATATGCTTGTTTTACACTTGTTCATTTAGGTGATTTATTTCTTCCTTTTTACTCCTTTTTTTCCCACTTGTATCAACGTTGTGTAATTCCCTCCTGGTGGAAAATAAGAAAATTGTACAATTTTCTTTGTATGGAGAAATCAAAAGATTGAAGGGATTAGAGATAGGCTAGATACAAGAGGCTCATCGCTGAGATTCAGCCTTCTGAGGCTCATCCTCTAATTTTCTCCCTTAGTTCACTATCTGGGAATGGAATGACGAAGCTATACCAAGGACAGAGAGAAAGATGCGACTTAAAAAAGCTCTCATATTCTCTTTGGCACAAGATTAAACATAAAGAAGTAAGTTCTTTACAACCCAATGTAATATTTGGGAAGGTCCCCTTTCCCCTTCCAAATTCTTAGGAAAGGAACTCACATCTTGGACAGGTCCTAGGTGATAAAAGAACTCATCTTCTTTCATTTTAACCGCCTTTCTTCTTGGCTAATGGATCGAGTGAGAGGCGACGGGATTAGAAAAAAAATTCTATTTTCTTTGTGCATGCAAAACCTAATTTTGCACGCCTCTGTAGTTGAACTTTCAAATGTCATTCTATGTTTTCCACCATCTTTGACTTGGTGGTTACTAATTTCAATATGATATGCTTGCAGGCTTGGAATCTTCATGAGGAAAACCAAGAAGTGAAACTTGTTGACAGAACATTATCTGAAGCGAATGAGGACGAAGTAAAAAGAATTATAGGAGTCGCTCTTCTGTGCAGTCAAACATCACCTGGTTTGCGGCCTTCAATGTCACGTGTGGTGTCAATGCTTTCTGGAGACATTGAGGTGCCCCCAGTCACTTCAAAGCCTGGATACCTAACTGATTGGAAATTTAGGGATGTAACAACCTTTATGTCGAACACAGAGAGTTCAACTTCAAGAACTGATGTTAGTCAGGGCAATCCATCAAACGTAACAAGCAGGGCAATCACGGATCCATCTTATTCACCTATCATTGATTCAAAACCCATTCTTCAGGAGATTATTGGCGACGGCAGGTGAAATTTAATAGTGTAGCAGTATATTCTGGTTGAACATAAATAAGCATTCCTTTAGAATTAAAATTTTATGGTGGTGGTTAAATATTTTCAATTTTCATGGTATTGTGATAATTTCCCTATTGTAGTGATAATGTGATGTTATTTTCTTATTAGTATGTTTGTAATATTATAGGATCTTTACTTTTACATTTGTTTGTCTTTCTATAACATGAAACATTTATACAATTTCAGTAGTTTTTTCATTGTTTGCATCTCATTTACACTGGATATATCATATATAGAATTAAAATGTTCTAGTAATCAATGATTCTAATTTGATTGTCAGAGAAAAATTGATGCAATGGATTATACTTTTTTGACTACTACATCCATATTTGAGGTTGACCCAACCAAAAATCTTATAATTGCTTCAATTATGCCATTGTTTGGGCCTCATTCTTTTGAAAAAATACATTTTTCAGCAATATTTTAACATCATTTTAACCACACATTTTTCAATAAAATAATATTACACGTAAATTCAAAACTAAT